TGTGTGTGTGTGTGTGTGTGTTTTCTCTCTACCAAGGAAAGGAAGTTTGTCTGTGGTTTCTGATCTCCTCAGCTCTTCAAACTCCAGCAGATCCACCTCCCTTTATTCCATTTCCAACATGTAAGGCACTGGATCTGTGACTAGCTGTGATGATGACAGTGTGTATGGGTGCATATATGTGTGTGTCCTTGTTCTCTGTGATTATTGGATGAATACAAATCAGTGCAAACGTGCCTGTGTGAATCCCCTGTGGGCATGCATTTGCATGTGTGCATGACACGCTGGTATGTGTCTGTGTGTTGAATTTTCTGTGTTCAGCGTCGAACCACTGACTCGTGATGAAGGTAGAGATGTAGCTGGAAGCTCTTTTTTTCCAGCCCCATATGCTCTGCCTTTTGGGAGCTGCTTTGATTTTGTACGTCATGATTGTTCCTGAGATCATTCCTGGTGCTCGGGACGATGGCAGGTTTGGTTCTTACATGGCCTTAAACAACAGCACACAGAGGAGTTGAGCGATATTTAATTCATGACTTGTGGAGTAAGCCCTGTCAGCTCTCTGTGCAGTCGTCTCAGAGGTCTCGGCTCAGTGACTGCATAAAAAAAACATTTCATATCAGATGTGCGGAAACAGACCTGTTTATTTTCCTGTGTGTATATTAATCTGTGTCTTTTTCAAATAAGATCTGTCATATAAAATCAGTAGCATGCATGATGAGGTTTCTCTTGCAGGTATTTAAGACTTAAAATTGTATCTTGTGCGTGTGTGTGTTTGTTGTAGTGGTCGTTTGATGCGCGATCGCTCTCAGTCCAGTTTCTCAGTGTCCTACAAGAATATGAAGAAGAGCCCTTCCCTGCAGTCGCTGGACAACATCTCCATTGACAGCTACCTGATGGAGGACGGAGACGCGTACAGCCTGCTGGAGAGAGGTGGAGCAAACACACACAAAAAGAATCTTTATTTATTCAGGGTTCAGCGAGTTATTATTCCTGTATGTGTACTCGCAGGTAGCTGTTTTGACCAGATGGTGGCAGTATTGTGCTGATAGGCCAGTAGAGTCAATGCATGGATTCATAAAGCTTGAGGCTGTATAAAATATATTGTCCACTGTGTGCTTGTGTGTGTGAGTGGTCACATACTTCATGTCTCCATGTTTAGATGACGTGTCCATCTCAGGCTTCAAGGATGCCGTCAGTGAGCAGAGCGCCACAGAGAACGCTGCCGAGGCCGCGTTCAGTCAGGAGCAGGAGGGGGGCGTGTCCCCCGATACTGTCAGCGCCACCTCCCAGAGCATCGACGAGCCCACCAAAGATATAGTACGATGTGACGACCTCGTAAAAATGTGTACTTATCTAAATCAACTGAGAAAATCAAGATGCTGATTGTGTTGACTGTGATCTTCCTCCAGGTGTCGGTGCTGGTGCTGAAGGTGCGGTCCGTGTGCGCGGGCATGGAGGTGGTGGGCGAGAGCACAACCCTGGCTCTGGAGGTGGGCCAGGTGACACCCAGCCAGCTGGGCAACGTCAGCCTCAGACAGTACCTGAGCAACCGCAGCCTGGGTAAGAAGTTGTACACACACACACACACACACACACACACACACACACACACACACACACACTTCATGACTGAGCATGAAACATGGAGCTTTTTATTTTATCTCTGATTTGTCGTAGAGATATAAAAATCTATTTTTGCTCGGCTGCTTGGACTCACATTTTAAAAATGCGTCTTTTTTACATTACTGTAACATCAAACAGTCATTAACACACTGATTTTAAAAAGTTACTAAAAGAAAAGAGAACTGCTCAACAGAGAAACGCTTCCAATTCAAATTAAAACCGTCCACAACACAAACATTTTCCATCAGAGAAAGAAAGAAGAAGCCAGAGAGTGAAGAAGCAACATAACCTACATGTCACTGGTTTTTAGAAGACGATGCAATGATGTCAGATTCTGTCTTTTTCTTGGTCATTTTGGGGTCTTTGACTATTTTCTGGACAGGAACAGCTCTACTTTTTATTACCATTCATTTAATGAGCATATTTCAATGTTTTCTGATGTTTCATAGACCAAGTGAATCGATCAATTGGGATAATCGAAACATGTTAGTTTGCAACCATAGACTGTAAAGATGGACGTCGTGACAGCTCCCCAAAAGTGAAGCCAACTCCTCGTGATCGCCCCCTGGTGACTGGGGAGATCAGGTCAAAAACTCTGCCTCTTCCATGTTCGTGGATTTGATGAGGACCAAACTAAATGTTTCATCATTTGAGGTCGTTCTTATCACATATTTGATGATATGAAAATGGGCCGAAACATAATGATTGACAACTGAGACTGACTCACTGATTGGTCGAATGTGTAACCGGGCAGGTTTAATCAATTCTGCAGCTCCATGTCACCAAATTACGTCCGAATGTTAAGATGGTGGCCCCCACATCTGAGATCATTTGGCTTCATTTTCACGCAATGGGAGTAAATGGAGATGTGTCGTCCATCTTTATAATCAGTCTATGGTCGCAGCTCAAGTTGGAATCCTCTCCTCTATCAGAATACATTAACTGTTATTGTTTGTGTAGGGACACACACACATTCACACACTAACAAAGCCACCCCCGCCTCCTTGTTTACCTTGCCATAACTCCCCACAGGTATGGTGGGTTCAGTACCAATACCTGCTCAGAGCAGCCAAGGTAACCGCTGTGTGTTCACTCACAAACTGTGACTTAACATGCATGTTTGCCTCAGTGCGTCTTTTCCAACCTACTGTGAACAATGTGTGTGTGTGTGAGAACAGTGTGTGTGTGTGTGTGTG